AAAAGTTCTTTTCAGGCTGACAGAGGGCTGTGATTTTTTTTACCTCTCCCTCTTACCCTTCCTACCCAAAGTCCTGATATTTGGAACAAACTGAAAATGTACACTAATGAAAGGGAATGGATTATTTTTCTGGCAAATCAGAACAGGCCCAGCTCTGGGCTTTGTTTTAGGTCAAATCTCATAAAAATCACAAACACAAACCTCAAACATTTCCGTTGGGATCCTGCCTGTCAAAATAAAGGTTTCACTTTATATTCAAATGACTCTTTTGTTCCAGAACAGGTCAAAGGGAGCCAATTGGGACTATTACCAACTGTAACATTAGTTTCAAAGTCTGCACTTAGGAAACAGACAAGCATCAATAAAAAGTCTGGGCGGCTGTCTCCACAGGATGAGAGCCGAGGCGGTTAAATTATGCAAAAGAAGTGAAGGGAAACACAATGCTCAAGTATATGTGGGGGCACCGCCTAACCCAGAGGTCTCTGAGGGTGCTGGCTTATTTCCCAAGGGAGCATCCCTGTCCTGTCTGAATAACAAACATTTACATATTAAGATAATGTGGCCTTTTTAAATTGAAGTCATTTTAAGGTACAGCTTTCCAGAAAACCTGTGAGGTCCAAAACATTCCCATTAATGTTAGTAATGAAGTTGCCATGTGAGGAGTATAAAAGTTATATTAATCCCCTGTGTGTTTCCAGCAACATAGAATTACTATTTGTTTAGTGTTCATTCTATGTATCGTTATTTGGTTACATGTGTGGTATAGAAGTGGAAATTTTCTGCTGTGTTTTTCCTTTATGAAAATAGGTATTAAATTGTTACCCTGTCCTTCCTCAACTGAGCTCAGGGTAGCATATATCGCTCTCTTACCTCTTACATTTTATTCTCATAACAATCCTGCGGGGTAGGTTAGACTGAGAGACAGTGACTGGTTAAGGTTGTTCTGTGAGTGCAGATTTGAACCTAGTCTAATGCTCTGACCACTATATCACATATTCCACTCTGCTTCTGCCAGGAGCGAGAGTACTAATGCTCTGACCACTATATCACATATTCCACTATGCTTCTGCCAGGAGCGAGAGTACTAATGCTCTGACCACTATATCACATATTCCACTATGCTTCTGCCAGGAGCGAGAGCAATCTGGAAACAGTGATGTAGAGGACACCTTTATGTAGAGGCACCTAGTGATGAGTGAACGTCCCTTGATATCTCCCAGCTTTCTTGGCAAGTGTTTCTTGCCAAGAGTTCCTTTCTGGTTCATAATACTAGTGCATGTGCATGCATACAGTACCAGCCAGAGCACAGAAACAGAAAATTGTTTCTGGAAATTCAGTCCATCTCCCCAGCATACGCCCCCAGAAACAAGAGTAGGTCTAAGATGTGGCAGACAGACAACAACCACATAGAACATTAGCAACAAATAATATGTTGTTGTATTTAGAGATGTTCACCATGTACAAGGCTGTGCTGCTGATTTCCACAGACAGATTTCTGCCCACCAAAATGACTCTCCCCTTTTGCTTCAGTTGTAACCCAAAATTACCCCCAATGCTGCTCCTCAAGGACAAGGGACCCTCTAGGAGCAGCATTTTGGGTGGTATTTTGGGTTACAGTAGGAGAGAGAAGGTGAGAAAATTGCACTTCATTATTATTATTATTATTATTATTATTATTATTATTATTATTATTATTACAATTACATTCCATTTGTATACCGCTCACCTCCTGAGGGCTCTGAGCGGGTCACATTACATTATACAACACATGCCAATCCTAACCTAGGGCCACATAAA